AATTGTTCGCGAAAGTTAGCCTTGATCGGCACGGACTTCAGCATGAGCCAGCCAGTGATGCCAAAAACGACGATGAAGGGAATGTAAATTGCGGTGGCGTTTTGCAGCCAAACCTGACTGGTGACGGCACCCTTCGTCAGGGTCTGCGATCCGCCCATAAAAGCCGCGCTGCCCATAAGTGCGAACGAGATCACCCAAGGGGTCAAGAACTGGACAACCGAGACGCCGAAGTTTCCGATGCCCGCCTGAATGGCGAGCGCTGTTCCCTGCATCCGCTTGGGGAAGAACAGACTGGTGGACGGCATGAAGGATGAGAAGTTTCCGCCGCCAAGGCCGGCGAGGAAAGCCAGGAACATCAGCCACCAGTAAGGCGTGTTGATGTCTTGGACAGCATAAAACCAGCCGACTGCTGGGATCAGGAGTGAGAGCGTCGACAGGCTCACGACCGTTCTTGTCCCATACATCGGCGTCAGGAACATGTGGATGAGGCGCAGAGATCCGCCAGCCAGACCCGGCATGGCTGCCAGCCAGAACAATTGCCCGGTCGACAGCTTGAAGCCGATCTGTGGCAACCGCACCACAAGTGCTGAAACCACGAACCACAGGATAAATGCCATGGTCAGATTGAGCGTTGTGATGATCAGCGTCCGGTAGGCGATACCCTTGCCGGTATCATTCCAGAACGCCTCATTTTCCGGTTCCCATCGCTGCAGGTAGGAAGCCCCCTGCCTTGCGTCTGCTTGAATTTGGGACATGTCAGTCTCCTTAGCCGCCGTGCGGCATGGCAATCAGTGTTTCTTGGATGGGGCGACGCCGAGAACCTTGGCTGCCAGCCCAGCTTCTCCGGATGGTGCAAGCCTCGTGGAAGCAAGTTCAGGCAAATCGTGCGGACGTCGTAGTTCGGGATGGGAATTTTTTTCCATTTCACGAATGGCAAAATGCATCCAGACGAGGCTAATTGTTGAGATCAGGAACAGGAGCATGAAACAACTGGTCCAGATTCCGATCACGTCATTGAGATAGCCAAACGCGATCGGGAGGATGAACCCGCCCAGTCCGCCAATAAGTCCAACAATGCCACCTACCGCGCCAACACGGCCTGGATAGTAGACCGGAATGTGCTTGTAGACTGCGGCTTTGCCGAGGCTCATGAAAAAGCCGAGGACAAAGGTCAAAACCATGAATGGTAAGAAGCCTACAGCAATGTCAAACTCAATCGGCCCGTCAATTCCGTTCACCACATAGTGGGTTGCCGGATAGGCAAGGAAGAAGAGCGCGACCGAAGAACCTGCAAAAGTCCAATACATGACCCGGCGCGCGCCGTATGTATCCGAGAGTTTGCCGCCAAGGATCCGGAACAACGAACCGGGAATGGAATAGGCTGCGCCAAGCCACCCAGCCTTGACGATATCCAAACCGTATACATCGACGTAATAGTGCGGTAGCCAAAGCGCCAGCGCAACAAAGCCGCCGAACACGAAGAAATAATAGAGTGAAAAACGCCAGACTTGCATGTTTTTAAGCGGCGTCATCATTGCCGAAAGTGGCTCCGGCTTGGCGCCGGTGCGG